TCAGTCTCACTGTCACCCAGGTTGGTGTGCAGTGGCGCAATCTTGGCTCACTGCAACCTCTGGCTCCCGGGTTCAAGTGATTCACCTGCCTCAGCCTTCTAAGTAGCTGGGATTACACACACAGGCCATGATGCATGGCTAATTTTTTCTATTTTTAGTAGAGATGAGGTTTCACCACGTTGGTCAGGCTGGTCTAGAACTCCTGACTTCAAGTGATCCACCCACCTTGGCCTCCCAAAGTGCTGGAATTACAGGCGTGAGCCACCATGCCTGGCCTTAATTTTTGTATTTTCAGTAGAGACAGAGTTTTGCTATATTAAGATCTTTACGGAGGTAATCCAATTAAAATGAGGACATTAGGCTGGTCTCAAACTCCTGGGCTCAAGCGATCCACCTGCCTTGGCCTCCCAAAGTGCTGTGATTACAGGTGTGAGCCACTGCACCTGGTCTCAAAATACCAAATCTGGACGTTTGGTGATTTTAAATATACATATTTTGGTATCCAAAATATACCTCTGTAGTTCATGAGAATTAAGAGAGGTCTAAGATATACCTTGTTGTTGACGTGAATAACTTGTACCTTTAAAATTTAAAATCCGAAAAACAAAATTGAAAAATGGATTCTGTATGAATTTACCTTGTGCTATGTAAAGTAAATCTTAAAGTTTTCATCAGGGAGATTATCCGCCACTAGTAAATAAATGTACAAAATATGAATCACCAATTCATTATATTAAAATCAAAATAATTAACAATAGTGAATATAACAAAACCCAAATTGAAAAATTTAGAGAATGGATACTCTGGTCTAGTAAAGTTTTGAAAGGAGTCCTAACACTAAACGCTTTTGCTGTTCCTTCGCTGCCTAGCACATTGCCACGCTTGTTTGAAGTTAATGATGGTGATGCCTTGTACTTTCCAGCATTCCACTGTCTCTAGACCTAGATCATCTTCTCGCAGTGTTTTTAATTTAACAGATCCTTACTTGAACTTATTTTCCAATGATTTTCATTTGAATGTGGCCTCAATCCTCAAAGCTCCAATTTAAAAATTCTGAGACTCTTTAATCAAAATAGAAATTTGATAATTTCTTATGAATCTTATTCTTCTAAAGTTTTCAAACATAAAGGTTATGCTATCTAAACATCTAAACTAAAAACTTGCTAATTTTAATTATTTGACCAGAATTATTTCCCGTAGCTCATAAGGTCCGGAAGCTATTTTACATGAAGAAAAGCAAACACAAACAGTATTTACTATGCCAGGCACCTTTTTAAGGGCCTTATAGAAAATGGTATGACACTTACAGGCATTCTTATTACCGATGACAGATGAGGGAACTAAGGCACAAAGAAATTAAGCAATCTGCCTAAGGTGACATACAGTAATGGTGGGACTAGGATTCAAACCAGAGTTGTTGGGCTTCAGAATCTGTGCTCTCAATCACGTCATACTGCCACTCTCGAAATAACACAAGAAAATGTTTTCTTTAGTTAAATTTTATGAAAGACAAAGCAAGATATAGAAATTCAAAGTTTCACTTCAGCAGCCACCATGAATTACGCTTTGACCTTATGTAAAAGTTATTTTATACATAGCTTTCACAAACATTATCTATTGTGTAGTTACATCAGCTCTTTTCAAATCCAAAAATAAGGACATAACTCATACAAATATATTTTAAATAAGCCTTAAAATTAGAATTAAATTGATAAATGAAGTCATCTATTGAAAAAGTGTTATTTTACATCCATTCTGGATATTACCACAAATTTTAAAAGTAGAAGCATAACATTTGCCAGTATTTTTAAAAACCAAGTCAATACAAATTAGTTTGAAAGTTCTTGAAAATTAATAATTGATTTTCCCCACTACTTAACCATAACTGGAATAATCTTTGAAGAAACACTACTAGCAAACTTTAGACAAAAATTACAAAACCAGATTGTTGGCAGAAGACACAACAAAATGTAAGTTAGAAAATTCATAAACATACATTTATTTAGGAAATACAATTACTAGAATCCTTGATATTTCAATGATCATTCCACATTATAAAATATTCACAAACATGTAGTCTTTTAACTCTACACCAGGTCATGCTGATATTCTTTTCTGATAAGCCATAACCATTTCTTCTATTAAATGCTATAATATCCATTTTAATTGTAAACAAAGTACTTGAGCCAAACTACTTAAGTACTTGAGCAAAAGAACTTAAAAAATCTTAGGAGGATAATGATATTTTTGAAAAACATATTTGAGGCTGGGTGTGGTGGCTTATGCCTGTTATCCCAGCACCTTGGGAAGCTGAGGTGGGTGGATCACGAGATCAGGAGATCAAGACCATCCTGGCTAACACGGTGAAACCCTGTCTCTACTAAAAATACAAAAAATGAGCCGGGTGTGGTGGCACACGCCTGTAGTCCCAGCTATTCAGTAGGCTGAGATAGGAGAATCGCTTGAACCAGGGAGGCAGAGGTTGCAGTGAGCTGAAATCGCACCAACGCACTCCAGCCTGGGCGACAGAGCGAGATTCCATCTCAAAAAATAAAATAAAACAAAACAAAATAAAATTGAATCATCAAATTCTAAAGAACTAGGCTGCTATAATCTAATATAACAAATGAAGTACCCACATTAAGACAGCACATAATTATTAACGACAATATTTCTCATCTGCAATTTTTAAACATGCTTTCTCAAGTAACAATCACGTATTTTTGTAACTTTTAAAGGCAAAGGGGGCAGAATGATGACAGACATTAAAAGCTCACTTTTAAACTACTGGTAGATTTTATTTTTAAAAAAAGAAAAAAACGCCGGGCGCGGTGGCTCAAGCCTGTAATCCCAGCACTTTGGGAGGCTGAGGCGGGTGGATCATGAGGTCAAGAGATCAAGACCATCCTGGTCAACATGGTGAAACCCCGTCTCTAC